ATGTATGTTTGTAATACAAGTGTCACACGTTTATAGTTTTATATATATTATGAAATGAAAAAATCATTATTACGAAAATTTAATTTTCAATCTTATAATTACAGAAAAAAAAATTCAGTTATGTTATAAAAGAACCTTTTAATTTGGTGAAGTAGCAATTCTATTTGAAGTAATTTAAAATTAGATTTTATTATTCAATTTTAATTTAAAAGCCCAACGCGTGTAGGCGCTATAAATTTCACAATGCTGCATATCACGAAATTTATTGTTGCCATTATAAATTAAACAATCAGTCGAATTCTTACAAGAAAACAATAAAGTCTTTCCAAAAAAACAAAAAAATAAAAGATTCTTTAGAATAAAAATTTATTTTAAATTGTAACATTTTTACTTTTTTCATTTTTTTTTTTATTTTGTGATAAATCTCAACAGGTTTCTATAAATTTTCTGTACAATTACATCAACATTACACCTACAGTAATTTTACAAGTTTGAAAAGATAAATCACAAAATGTTTCACTTTTGAAAAATTTTTGGTTTCTCCTCCAAAAAAACAACAAACAAATAAAGAAAAGTATGAATCCTTGAACAAATAACAAAATTAAAGTATAAAGATATTTCCGGAGGCATTTTTCTTTCTATATTCTATTTTTTCATCTATACATATATGCATTATTCTCTTATATGTACAAGGTGTGCCAACAAAAATTAGGATATACGGTATACACTAATTAATTTACTAAATGTTTAAATACCGTGCAGTGTGAACGACCATTTTGTAAAATTTTCTAATTATTCTAAATATTATGATGAAAAAAACATTAAAAAATAACACTTTCGTTAGGATTTGACAGGCTAAAAATAATCATAAATTATTTGATATTTAATAAACTAGACTAAATATGAGGCGGTTTTGCAACGAAAATGAAAACTAAATTTTCTCAAATTATTCTAAAGCTTAAATGGCAACACTGAAAATTTCCTAAAAATTTCTAATTCATAATAAAATGTTAAGTCTTAATTTCCCTGTGACCATGTGAATGGAAATAGATGATGAACAAATAAAAACGACACAATTATTGGTACACTCCTTAATTTAATCTAAGCACACACAGATCACTTTTACATGTACACATGTGAATATTTCCTATATAAAATTTTTTGTAACTTACGAGTATTTCCCAAGAAACCAAAACCCAAAACAAAAAGAATATTTTCATTTTTTATTTTAGTTTTACACTGAAATAAGCTAAAATAAAAGGAAAAATAGTAAAATTGATGATAGAAACTTAAGATTCGTACCTCTATGACACAAAATATTGCTGTATAAAATTGTAATATAATGTTTGTATATATGTATGTTGCGATATGAAAATGAAAAATTTTAGGTTTCTTGTCCTTTGCTTGTAAAATAAAGTTGGTTGTCAAAATTTTGTATCCAAAAAATAAAAGTATTACTGCTTTCTCTTTCTTGTTATTTTTTTTTTCTCTTTCTTACTGTATTTGGGATGATTATTTATGTCTTTCTGTTATAGTGCTATTTGTCTTCTATTATTAATTTTTCTCTTAAGAAAATCGGAAAAGAAATCCTAGACATTTAAACTGTAACGCAAAAACAAAAATGAATCTATATTTACATGTTTCACAATTTAAAATAGAAATATAAAAAAAAAAAGTTTAGAATTTTAGGAAGCCTTAGGGAATTGCGCACATACTTTATAAATTTAGAAATTATTTTTGCAAGGAACTAAATTTTAAACGGGACGAGATTTTACTGACTAAAAATTATTATTGGGAGAAAAATTTCAATAATTTTTGAGATTCTCAATTATAATTAAGAAAGGGCAACAGAAATGAAATCTTTGGCTTTTCATTTATTCTTTAATAGAAAATATTTTCAGATTATTAAAAATCTCTTAAAAGAAGAAAGTTGCGTGAATTGCAAATGTAGAGGGAAAAATATATTTTACAATTATATTTCCCAATCGCATAACATATAAGACATATTGTCTAGCTGGTTGGTGTTCCCGCCTGAGCACTTTTAATTGATTCTAATAATTAATTATTTGAGGAACAACATATAACAAATTTTTAGTAGTTTTAAAGCAATTAAGTTCTAGATTTATCCTAAATTTAAAGTAACAATTAATAATTTATAATATTATTCATTATTCTTAATTTTTAAAATTTATAAACATCTTAAACAAAAAAAAAATCCAATCTTTACTGTTAAAAGTTAAAATTAAATAAAAAAAATCAAGAATATTTTTTTAGTTGTCTGACTTAAACAACTTTTTCTTCATTTAGATTTTACTCAAATATTTTATATAGAATAAATTGTAAAATAATTTTCTTCTATAAAATCTTTTATATACCCATGTGAAAACTTTACCCTCAATATTTTTTGTTCCCTACATAAATTTTTTATACATATTGTGTGTACATTCAAAATATGCGGCCAAAGAAGATACAAAAACAAAATTTTCTCTATATATATTTTATTAATACAATGAATATATATATGTATATATACATATATCTTTGCTCCTGTTTTGTATACAATATATATGTAAGCGAATAATTCTTATATACTCAATATCATTTACTATTTAATATTTCAGATAGATGAACACAGAATAAAATGGAAACTGAATATAGAATGATTGCTCAATTGAATGATTGTGATAAATGATGTCTTGACATTTTTCACAGAAAAAAAGACAAAAACAAAAAAAAAAAACTCCGAAAAATTGAAAAAAAAAAAAACCAAAATCCCGAAAAAATACATAACTAACAGCATTCAAAACAACACGCTTTGATGATTTTTGCGAAATAAAATGAATTTATTTTGGTTTTTTTACTAAAGCATAACAGGGATAAAATATTTTATTCTTAAATGTACAAGATGTCTATGTCATTAAATGAACAAAAATTTTCGAAAATGATGACAGGAAACAATACCATGTAAAAATTGTAAAGTCCTTCTGTGAGAATTTTGGAAATATTCATTTACAACACATATATTTATCATAGATTCTGCAAATAATCTCGCGTTTATTGTTATCATTACCCTTTAGTAGGTTATGACTTACATTGTAAGATTAATGCGACCCCGGTCTATACAAATATCTGACCGTCATCAAACTCCTAAGTCATAGAGAAACGATAATTTTTTTTCTTCAAAACCTGAACCCTGTTGCATCAACCCCTTTATCTTTTAAACTTTCTAAAAAAGTACCTTTTTGTATTCATATTACCGGCATTAGCGGTTTAACTCCTGATGCAATACAATAGAACAATACAGATCCCGGGAAATACGAATTAAATGAAAAATTTACTCAATTCAAAAAATAAAATCAAAAAAAATTCTAAACTAGATTATAATCGGAACATATTGGGAACAAATCAATTTTCTTCAGGAGTCGATTTTACGAATTCTAGAGAGTCTCATTTATATTGTATTTAATTGATCCTTTCCTGTATAATTAAAATATCTCCATATTCGTCTCCAACGCAATATTGATGTTCGGATACCAAAAATTACAAGACAATATAGGTGGACGGATTAAATAGTTTGTTAAAATAAAAATAGTCTTACGCCATTTTTGTTTTATTCTTATGACACTCTGTACATTTCATGTCTAACATATGTATATAACAGTTTTAATATAATACCAAATACTCTATTTATATAGTAAGCAAAAGAAAATCCATTGGTATTGCAATGTTTCGGTTTTTGAGGTTTTCTTCCAAACTTTTTTTCTCTCCATTTTTTTTTTTTTTTTGTTTTTGGTGGAGTTGGTTGGTTAATTTTTATGTCATTGATATTATAAGACCGATTGAGCTTATAATAGCATTTTAAGGATTATATAAGGTTTGTTTGTATATTGAAATTGACAAAATATCTGAAAAACAAAAATCAAAAAATAAAAAGAAGAGAGAGAAAAATAATAATAATTTTTTTCTTTTTGGCATTATGCCGTTCCAAACTTCTTATTGGTATACAATTTATATATTTATATATGAAATATATTTTTTATCTATATTTGTGACAGTAGTCTAATAATATTCGAATGTGAACACATCATATACTTATGTAGTTTATATAACGTATACATATAATATGCCTGTATATAGATATACGTATCCACAATGGACTAATCACAAAATCCTTAAACAAAGAGAATGAAACACAAAGAAAATGAAACAAAAATTAAGAAGAAAAATAGATTGAAAAACCTATAAAGATTCTAATAAATATGACGAGACAATTGACAAATCGATGAGCTTTATATTTGTATTATGGAATATTAATCTGATGTCCTTTTTCAAAATTATTTGTCACAAATTTGTTTTTTTTTTTCTTGTTGAGTTACAGGAGTAGAACAGTGGAGGATATACATACGTTATGTAGTTAAAGATAAAAAATATTGGGTTTTTTTATTTGTTCTCAATATTTTTTTCATATTTATTTGAAATTTTTTGTGGAATTCTTGTATTGGAGTCAAAGATTATCTTTTAATATTTTATTTTATTGCATATTGTTATAAAATTTTCAATTGAAATTGGAGAAATTAGAAAAATTTTAATAAGCTTAAATTCAAAAATTAAATACTTTGTTTTAAAAAGGATTAAAATAACTTAAAATTTACAGAGCATATTTTTTAGCCCCTTAATATTTTTCAAAATTTGAAATTTGATATGAAAAGATTTTTTTGTGTATTCAACTTCAAAATATATTTGAATTTTGTAATACTTACAAGAGTGAGAGAAATTAATGTGAATTAATGCAACCAGTCTGCAGCGTGTTCGGTAAAATATGGGCCTTATTAATGCAATTCTAAAATCTCAATACTAGTTAGGAATTTCAATTTGATTGCGTTTTAAAAAAAATGTATAAATCCTGAACAAACACTTTTAATTAAAAAAAAATTACAATTAATTTTTAAATTTTTTTTATGATTTAAATTTTAATTTTAAATTTTTGTTTTTTATTTCAGGAACTTGACATGGAATGTTGTCCAAAGCCGGTTGTATTCGTATTACATAATTGTCTTTCAGCAAAAGTACATTCGATGGCATAAAATATTTTTTTTATTTTCTTTTTACGTATATATTTGTATTTGATCTAAATTTTAAGTATGATGGGCTTCTTTTTCGTAAATTTTTGTAAATTTTGAATTTTGTAATTTCTCTTTTTGCTTCCAATATTTCAGTTAATAAATTGTGATAATTTTTAACGAAACAATATTTAACACTAATTTTAATTAATTTGTAAACAATTAATTATGCATTTCTTATAAAGATTTTTGAAATATTGTAAATTAAATCAAAAATGTATTAAGTATGAATAATAATATTGAAAGATTTAGATCATGAAATGAATAAAAAGAGAAGAGAAATGCTGTAAGACACTTACATTTTGGAATAAAAAGGCAAACAGAAATAATTTTAACATACAAAAAGTTAAATTTCTGTCCGTGTAATAAAAAAATTACACAAATACATTAAAATTATTATCAGGAACAAACGAATATGTTTTAGAAAAATAAAAAAATAAAGTGGAAACAAACCAATCGTATATAAAGTACCATTTTTTCTTTGAACGAGTGTAAATACTGTTTTTAAAAACAATCTACTACATCTCATATTATGTACTTTTATTCATATTTCAAAATATTTCAAATTTATTGCATATATTTAGAAAGAGACCAAGAAAATTGAAAAAGACATTAATATAACGGTCGAAACCAAGATTTAATTGCATGATTTCAAAAAAATCATTATAATTTTTTATGGTATGGCAATTATTCTCAACTTTCTGAAGTTATAGAAATTTGAAATAGTTTGCAGTTTCAGAAATATGAGGTGTCAAAAATTCAAATTTTACGAATTTCGAGCGATGATGACTTAGAAGGGGATGATGATGACTTAGAAAAAAAAATTTTTCCAACGAAATAAAATCCTATTTTTTGGAAAAATAATTAAAAATGCAAATGAAGATTTTAAAATAATAAGGCGAACCGGAAGACCAGTTGGAATTATTATCAGTCCTTACATACGTATAAAAATGTTTTCATTTGTTATCTTGATTTCATTTCATTTTTTATGTGGATAAATTTTAAATTTTTAATATAAATTTAATAATTTTTATAAAAAAATGCATACAATTTTTGCTCCCTGATGCCGGTTGGAATATTGGAATCAAAAAAAAAAATTATAAAAATTCAAAAACAAACTATGTATGGTTCTGTTCGACAATAAAATTGTATGAATATTTTCCAAGAATCAGTTTTATTTATTTTATAAATTTTTAAAGCAAAATAGTTGATATTGTTGAAAATATTATTTAAATTTTAATTTTTTAATAATAACATTGAATTTTTAAAATTAAAATGTGCTAAAATTTAAAAAAAATAAGTTTAAAATGGCAACAAATTTTTAAAAATAAATTGAAAAAATCTCATTTTTTTTTTAATTTTAGCATTCATGAATTTTTTGATTTGATAAAAAAAAAAAAATTAAATAAAATTCTCTTAAAAACCATTTTTCGAATTAAAAACGAAAAAAAAATTTTATAGAAAATTTATGACTCTTAACTATTTCAAATTTATCTCGAACTGAAAATTAAGAATTCAAAAAAAAAAATTAATTAAAAATTTTCTTTAATTTACAAAAACCTTTAAAATTCAAATTCATTTTCAATATTTTTTAAAGATATTGTAGTAAAAATTTAATTTATATTTTATTTCTTTGAATAATAAAAAAATTTTTTTTTGAGAGCTGATATTTAATAAAATCGAGCTGATATTTAATTTTAATTTGGAAAAAAAAACTAATACACTAATAAAATTTTTATTATTAAAAATAGAAATGAATAAGAATTAAAATTTAATATGTAAATTTAATGGCAAAAAAAAAACTTTTTATGTACTTTTTTTGTAAATATTATATAAAAATTATTATTTTAAATTCTTAAACTATTCGACCGTATATATATATATATATATATAATGTAATATATATTAAATCTTTTAATTTGTTATATAATATAAATGAAATAGAAAAATATAATAGATAAAATTTATGGCTCGAAAAAACAAATTTTTAATTGATTGGAAGTGTAACAAATTATGTAACATTTAATTATTAAAAATGCCTCTATTTTAAATTCTCTATTTGTTATATATAGAAAAAATGTACATACATACATCTTTTATTATATAAAAAAAATAAATTTTAATTTTATTAATTCTTCTAATTTTGTATAGAATCAACAATAATTCCAAATTTATATTCTAAATTTGTGCCCAAAAATTGTTTAACAGTTCAAATATAATTTTTAAAAATTTGATCAATCTATAAACTTTAAATCGCACAAAAATTATAAAAATACTTTTTTTAAATATAATTAACATTGTTTATAATTTTAAAATTTATTATTATTCAATTTATTTTTAATAATTTTATTAAAAAATTTTTTATATTTTAAAAAATGAAAAGCTTACGAAAATTTAATAAAATAAATTTATAAAAATTCGATCTAAAAATATTTCAGAATCAAAAAAAAACATTTAAAATTAACAAAATTTAATAAACAAAAAAAAAAAACTAAATAAAACAAAATTTTTTAATTTTTATTAAAATTTTAAATTTATCTTAAAAAAATAATATCATAATATAATAGCTATATATATATATAAATATAATATAGAACCCATTTATGATGATAATAATAAACAAAGAAAAGAAAAAATGTAATAATCAAATAATAATTATTATGTAATATTGTATATTTACTTAAACACACATATATATATACATATATATATATATATATATCTTATACATAAAATAATATTAGAATAAATTACCTTTACAATATAATATAGTAAATTTCTGAAATAAATATGAATTTAAAATTAAAAAAACAGAAAAAAAAAACACAAAAAATCTATAGTATTTTTATCTCTATAATATTAAAATTGTAGTTTAAATTTATATAATATAATTAACATACATATATATACATTATATAATATAATATATAATTTTTTTTTCTAAAATAAATACTATAATAAATACTAATAATAAATACTATATAAAAAAAAGTAAATAAATAAGAAAAATAAAAAAAAATAAACAAAAAAAAAGAAAACAGAAAAATCTTAGTAAACTTAATTAAGTAAATATAAAAAAAGAAAATAATTATAAAAATTAAAATGGGAATCTTGAGAAAATATTTTATTACATAATATATACATTCATATATACATATATAAATATTATATACAATATTAATGGATTAAATTTTATTATGTATTATGTATATAAACATTTAATATGAAAATTATTATTTAAAATTGAATTTATAAATAAATTTATTTTTTTTTATCATATTATTTTCATATTATCAAAAATTTTAAATTCATATTTTGTGTTATATACGGGCTTCTCGAGACAAAATGCTATTATAAATTTGGCTAAAATTAGAAAAATCATATATGTACCAAATAACAAAATTGAATCCAGTTTCTGGTAACATTTTAGTTGACAAAATTTAAGATATTAAATGGATATTAAGTTCTAATTTAAGAAAAAATTGATTTTGTTATAAAATGAAGTATAAATTTTTAGAACCTTGCAATCAGCAATTTATTTAAATAGAACACAAAATGGAGTAGCGTTTCACCTCACCTATTATCAGATTTAAATTCTCTTAATAGAAAAATTCTTTTAAAAATTTCAAATTTTGAAAAATTTTCTTATTTTGTTAAATATAGAAAACTATTAAATACACTATTTCTAATAATTAATAAATAATTTTAGTGTTATACGAAGATTTTAAATACACAAACAGTGACTCCCTAAATTTTCAGCGTAATTATTTTTTTTTAAAGAGATGGATAAGCCTGTATATATACTGATTTAGGTATGTTTATTATTTAATTTTAATTAAAAAAAATTTGATTATTAACTTAAAATATTCAATAATAGAAAAATATAAATTATTTATATATTTATGTAAGCTCATGTACACATGTATATTTGAATATATTTTACATTTAAATATATTACTCTTTAACAATTGGGTAATGTAAAATAATTATGCAATTTATAATAATTTAATGATTGTAATCGTGTAATATAATTTTTCAAATACTATAGAAATATGTAATATTAAAAAAAAAAAATTAGTTGAATTTAAAAAAAAAAAAAAAACAAATAAATTTCATTATTTAAATTAAATAAAATCAAAAAAAAATTTATTAAGTTTGAAATGATTGAATTGATTGGAGAAATAAGAAAAAAGTAAAAGAGAGAAGAAATTTATTGAAAAAAGAATTGAAAAACAAAAAATTTATTTAAAATGAAAATTATTAATTGTAAATTTGTTTTTTTTTTAAGAAAATTTTTAATATTATTGCTAAATAATTCTTGTATGCATAATTCTCGAATATTATTAAAAAAAAAGAGCTGCCATTATTATTATTTAAAGAAAAATTAAATGGAATATTAAAAAATTTTGAAAATTAATTTAAAAAATAGACACAGTCGCATTGGAAGACTTAATGTCTTTTGTTCGTGACAATAGATTAATATTAAAGAATAAAGAAAATGTAAAAGAATATCGAATTGTATAACACATTTAACACTATCAACTTGAAAAATTACTCAAGTAACAACTTTTACTTTGTAATATTTATGATAATTTTGTTTGAAAACTTGCTTTTGAATCAATCATATCAATTTAAAAATTTAAATCAGCATAAGTAATCAAGACATGATCACATAAATTTTACATATCTTTTCTAAAAAAAAAAAGAAAATATCATTTTTAAATAAATTAGCAAGACAAGAAAAAAAAAATATTTAAAAAATTTAATAAAACTGCCAAAAATTAAAGAAAAATTAAAATACAATTTAAAATGCAGCCAAAAATATTAATTATCTATTTTGTGAAATCAGGTAGGTTAAGCCTATAAAATTTGTTATTGAATTTTAAAATTTTGTTAATTTTGTTAGCCAAAAAATTATTATTTTTGTTTCTGTAACAAAAAAAAATTTTTTTTTAAACTTTTTAAATATTTTTTTTTTTAATATTGTTACTCTTACTTAAAAATAAATTTATGTATATAATATATTTATACATTAAGAAAAAAAAAATTAAAAAAATGCTAAAAGCAAAATAATTATTTTATAAAATTTAATTATTTTCATTAAGAAACCATTTGGTATATTGCAAATTAATTTATTATTTTCATTAATTTTATATTTTTACTTAATTTATTTGCAATTAAAATTATAATGATATTAAAAAATATTGAAAACTTAATTGTAATAATGAAAAATAAAATATAAAAACTGGAGCTAATTTTGTCAGATATACGAGTATCTACTAAAAACTAGGCAAAAAAACTTAACAATTTGTTCATTATTTCAAAATATTGAGGTTCTATATAGAAAAATATTTATGTAAATTTAGAGCGAACTTTATTTGATTTATAATTTCAGTGCCAAAATTAAATTTTCGAATTTCATTTTATTACTAAACGGTTAAGTAAAGTTAGAATAATTTAATTTTTATTCAAGTTTGATTAGTACCTACTTAAAAATCAAAAGTTTATTGATAGTTTCAAATACAAAAGTCTTAATTTTGTTTTAAGCGTAATCAGTAATATTTTAATTAATTTATGTAAGAAATTTTTTAATACGCGATTTTATGAATACGCGATAATTGAAGTATTTACAGAATTTGAAATAGAACGTAATTGCAGTTCTTTTTTTGTGTTAATTTAATATTCACTAATTAATTAACGCTTATAAAAACTAACACAGCACTGACAAATTTCAAATGTTTAAATTTTTCAAAACTGACAAACAAATTAAATAATACTTAAATAAACCTAGAGTTCAGGCAGACACGCAATTTTTAGTTTTATGACTGTTTGATTGTTTATTTGTCGTATTCAATTCGTATGCAAAATTAAACAATTCAAATCAAGATCGTATGCAATTAAGCAATCAAGCTGTTTGTAATTTTTTACAAACTAATCCCAATTTTTAGTTAACGTATTCGATTTAAATTGACTCAATAGATGCTTAAATGTATGGGCAACGATTTTACAATCAAGCAGTAATTGAAAACTTAAAAAATTGCATATCTACCTACCTGTCCTTATGATACTCGAAGTGTTATCAACCGAATAGCTTCAGTAAATCAATTAAATAAAAACATATTAAATAAATTTTCAATTCTGTTAACATTTTATAATTTTTACGACCAAAAAAATAAATAAAATAATAATTTTAAATAAAATATAGCCAATATACCTTTAGAAATAATTAAACAAGATATTATTATAGAAAACGAAACGCACCATTTTTATTATAAAATATAATATACATACATATACATTCATACTTATACATTATATTATACGCATATTTTAGTGTTGCCGTTTTGTTATCCGTTATTTTTCAATTTTGCTTTAATATACTT